AGAGTGGTAAAGACTGTGGAGAAGATCACCAGGACTCCACTGTCCTCTCTGCAGAGCATTTACCACCACAGGGTGCATAGGAAAGCTGCCTCCATCCTCAAAGATCCCACTCACCCCCCAGTACGGACTGCTTGCCTCCCTACCCTCTGGCCGGAGGTTCAGAAGTGTGAAATGCAGGACCTCCAGACTGAAAAACTCTTTCTTTCCCTCTGCCATCAGACTCAGGATGTACCTCATGTAATTCCATCTGTACTGTTTACATACTCATTTTGCACATGCATAATTGCACACTCACTGCTGAGTATTTGCACTTCATAGCTCCCATGTAGCATATATTCTCTCTGCTATAAATTGTGTTCTTGTTGTATTTTTATTGTGCTTCTTTCACTTGCTGCTTTAAAGTGCCTAAGATTTGTGTTACTGCCTATTTAGATTTGTTATTGATTTGTTATAACAGATTTAAACGGGGAGAATCATTATTTCATGAGGTCAATCACTAAAGCTTTTGAACAGCATCACACAGGCTTAACATCTTTACCACTTTAGCATTCTGATGCAAAGTACAAGCATGGTATCACTCAATGTAAAACAGTCACAGTTGGTACCCCAAAATACTGTTAACATGTGAGCAACAATATGAAATGGGCAGTAATGACTACTAGTTTATAATGTAATGGCAATTTTTCACATATTTTAGTATACCATCCACAATAAATTTGCCTCCTACAATCCTAAAGTAAGATTGATGAAAGTATTGGCCCCATTTATAGCAAAACAAAGTTATCATGTTTAATAGGATCACGATGAGCTAATTCAAAATTTTCCAACAAATGTTTCTCGGTATTACAGACATAACACTCAGGACCAGCTGGAAAGCTGGAAGAGTGACTATTCCAGAAATTAAAATACTGCTAAAGTCAAAGTTGTTATGAGCCCAGTTGTTTTTGAAGATCTATAGAGTCACAGTGCAGCATGAGCCCTGAACATGTGTAAGCAGTAGGCCAGTCATTTTAACAGCAGTACTAGGGTAAATACTGACCACATAGTACATTCAATCTGTTCAGTATCTAAATTTAAACATTTGTCAACACCCACACACTCATATTTACAGTGGCATATTCTATATAAACTTCAAACTACCCAAAAACATTTGAAAATACACCTTTATATTGCCTTCAGTTGGAGTGCTAATAACATTCCTTGGATCTCTTACAAGTGAACTATACTGTTCTATTATCCTTAAAACCATAATGTAATTACATTATCTGGGAGCTAAAAGAAGAATTATCATGACTGTATGTTTTAGTTCAGCATTTTAATATGCTGAAGCAGTATTCTACAGCTGTTTACAATGTACAGCAGATGGACGAGCATTTTAAGCCATTTTCAGGACAAAGTGTATGAGATTTAGTTCCAAGAGTGTTCATATCAATCTGTGCAAACACATCACAGTCATATAGCAAAAAAAGAAAACATTTAAGCCAAATAAAATGAGTAATTAAAATTATATATACATATATATAAATGTGAGTGTGTGTCAGCATGTGATGGCACAAAGCATAAAGGTATCGTCCTTCCTCCCTCTGAGCTGGGTAAACATTTCTGAGACGCATCCCCCATTTTAAGTGTCTGGATGTCCATGTCTCCCTATTGCTTTTCATTTGTCTGATGTTGTTACATCAAGCATGATGTGCTAAAAACATAAAACTATGAAACTATGCTCCCTGATGTGGTCGTGGCCTATTACGGATGTGTGGATGAAATCGTGCCATCCCTGGGTGGCTGCCAGGTGTCTCCTGCTTTGAAGCCTTCTGTAGGGCAGCGGGAGCAGAGGTCAGGATGCCACCTGCTGTGTGGGAGGTGTTAGTGGAGGAGGCATTGACCATTAATTCAATTTTCCCCTCCAGTTTGACCAGCCGTGTCAGAATGTCATCCAGCAACACGGCTATAGTCCTCTTCAGATCAGCTGTGTGTAAGAGAAGTGAAGAGTAAAAAATAAAAAAAAATACAAGGAAGACAACAACACAATGCTTGAGTCGGCTTTTTCATAACTACAAAACACACATATTCATACAAGAGTAGGAAAGTATGTGCAGGAATGAGTAACCCCACATATTATACTGTACAGCAGTCCTGACATATACTTACCATAACCAGCCATGGAGGTTCCCTGCAGCCCACCTGGTGCATTCTGGTTCTCCTCTGTAAGGACCTTGACGTATCGCCGGCTCAGCTCCAGGATCTGCTCACGTAGCTCAGCACTGCTCTGATGGTGAGACTGCTGCACAGTGTAGTGCAGCAACATAAGTCCCCACGCCAGGCCAAATGCCAGCAGCAGCACACTCAACTTCTGGGACATATTCTTTCGCAGGATGGCAGCCAGCATGGTACAGGGGGTATCAAAGGGGAGGGGAGCTAGAGAGGCCTAACCTTAGACTCAAGGTCTTCTACCAGCACTATATTTAAGAGTGTGACAATTCCGGCAGGGAAATTCTGTTTTCAGCTGTCTTTATCCACAGAGACATCAGAGGTCAAAGTATGCCACAAAGCATTCCTAGAGCTGATTTAGATTTAGTGTCTCACTCAAGTAAACTCCAGCAGAACATGTGCTAGCGTAATACCCACACAGCAGAAGAAGTCTTGTTAACCGTTAGAGCTTCCTGCCGCTCCTACGAGGTGAGAAACTGTTGAGCAACAGCAGATGCTATGAAGTGGAACCAGAAGGAAGCTGACACCCACAATCACCAGCATTTAGAAGTTTTTGGAAAGGTGCTTTGGTTTCAAGATGTCTAACAGCAAAGCAGGCTGGTCATTCAGGCAGGGGTCCGCCGACGTGTTGACTATGTGGGAAAGATACAGCAAGATGGAAAGAAAACATACAATTAACAACACAAAAGAAAAACATGCTATTGTCACATTTTAGAGATTAATTTAGCTGAGATTATTTTAATCATCTTTTTGTGCGCTGCTTTAAGTTTCATTATACAGTGGTGCAATGCCATGAACTGGGAAAAGAAAACCCTGTATAGCCCCTATATGATATTTCACATTGACCTCTTGAGACCTGCCAAGCAAAAAACACACACACACACACACACACACACACACACACCACACACACAAAATGCAAATAATACATTGTGGCATGGAGCAGGTGGCTACAACACAGTGGCTTCCTAGAATATGTAGCTATTATTAAATGCAGATTTCTTTGCTGCCTTGAGTCAACAACCCACTTATCCGTTTCAGCCGCCTTAGCCCAGAAACCTTATTACCAGTTAAGACCTCATGGGACTCAATTTGCAGCTCTAGAAATGAGATGCAACAACTGACAAAAGCATAAAGGGAATTCAATCTTTCATCCCACCTCCAACATTGTTACTGGACTGACAAACAGTCTGGGTGAGCACCATCCACATGAAGGAGAAATTAGATAATCATTACTCAGTTTTCATAACTTTGTTACCAAGTTCATTGTCTGTGCCCTCTCTTGTACTTTGTTGTGGGAGTGTCACTCCCTGTTGTGTTCAGAAAGGGGATAGTGACTGAGGGAATAAATTATGAAAAGAGCTGTAATGATATCTGTTTAGTAATTGGTCTCCATACACACACTGTAAACATGCCCTTTCTATGGCCTGAGCACTACAACTATGTATCAACATGCAAGAACAGGAAGGAGAGGAAAATCAAGATTCAAAGACTTGGTGAAACAGCTGATGCCAATCAGGAAGCAACACAGTATGTAAATGCACTGCCAGGCATAACAGGTGTTACAACATTCAGCTACTAGCAGCTGAAAAGTGGTTTAGTCTCACATTGAAAAAGTAAAACCTTGCAGCCCATGTAAAAAAAAAAAAAAGTTTTGTATCTCATAAGTAATAAGTAGCACAGAAGTAACTTCATGTATAAAGCCAGTGTTAACTGTTCAAAAATTCTTGATACAACAGGACATCATGCACCTTCAAGTACAGATATTATTTGAGGCTGAAGTGACTGGCTGTGAAAAATGTTATATTTGTAGGTCAGTGTAAGCAATGATGATTTTCTGTGCCTTCCATGTGTCAGTCAATAAATCCCATCCATCTTATGGCTGACAACTGTTGACAACCAGAGGAGTTATGGTGTTCGGACACTGTCATGTGGTACTATTCACCAGGCCTGGTCGTTCTGTGGAAAGGCACACTGTTCCCTCCAGGGTTTCAGACAATGAATGTGTTAAACAGTGACACAGCAGCTGTCACTTGTAAGTAGACATGGCAAAAGACTAAAGGTGATCTGCAAAGCCTAAACTAAATACTGTCTCAGGGTGGAGGAGATGACTTAATGACTAAAACCTTATGAAGAAGACACTGTAAAGGCTTGGGAAATACATCATATGACACCAACTTGAGCGGCCAACAGTATAAATAAATAGCAAGCTGATAACTTAGCGTTCACAATGACTTGCTGAATCCATCATTGAAAAGTAAACTAACATGAAAAGTAAACTAACGGACACTATGCCGAAAAAAGGATAAGTAAAGGCGGATACCCTATTTAAATACAGTTTCATCTTAAACACATGTTAACAGCCGTTTAAGATAAGAAGCTGTTTCCAACTAAACTAACATTTCATGTTAGCTCGACTCATTAGCTCGGCAACGCTCAAACCTGACCGTTAACTGAAAGGCAAAAATATTATATGCAAATCTAGCAAATCCAATCAAAACAGATTACTTGTCCCAGGCTTTTGACTGAAACACTATGCTGTGAACAAAGAATGAACTACCAGGCTCCAGAGAAGCAACTCAGCTCCAGCTGTTATCTCTGCTTGACAGTGAATGATGCGTTTTGTTTGGCAACCCTGGACTGTCGTTTGGTGTCGCTTTGGAAACGTCAAGAGAAACCCTCCGTCTCCCTTAAAGACGTTAGCAGCTGACCTTCACGTTGAGGGCTCTGTTCTGCTCACTCTGGTACTCATTTCGGCTCCTTCTTCCACCGTCTCGGGGATGAGGAGGTCCTTGCGAGCAAAAGACGAAAGCTACAATTCCAAGCACGCATCCGCGCTGACTGTCATGGTTCCCCTGAACGTCCACGCCTGCGTCATTACCACTGCATTATGGGAAATGTAGTCCTACTGTGCTTTCACTTGGTTTATCACATGAGCTTTGGCTAGGAATAATTGATAAGAATATTTACTGGGCAGTTTTAATTAAAACTATAAACCCAGTTAATTTGGAGCTATTGTAATATAGCTTTCAATATGTAAGATAAGCTACAATTGCTGTTTCACTATTTATCTGCAGTTCAATTTGCAACCAATAGAGGGGCATCTATTACTATTTCCATGGCACCTTCAAATTCAAAGCTGGTGGTAAACAGTAGCTAGTTGTGTGGATGCTGTAAAGCATAACTGCCCTGTTATGAACAAGCGTGGACTGACAGGAATTATATCAGAACTGAGCCGTTTTCACATAAGCCTCCATTCCACCGTGATCTGTGTTACATGCAGTCGGTTATCTGTATCTTGTAATTTATTACACGTCCTCACTTGCTCCAAACACAGTATCTGTCAGCACTAGCCCATTCACTATTTCTACTGTCATTTCAAGTACTTTTGATAAGGTTAAGGTCTGCAGGTTTGCTAACTGAATGACAAGGCTCTGCTTCATCATTGTTACATTATCTATTTACAATGTGAGCATACCAAACCTTTTGGTTTAGTTTAAACATACTTGACAAACCTTATGTTCAAACATCACAAATTTTACCATTTCTCTGACACTGACAGCTATTTATTGTAGATTTAATTGCAATCACGCAAAATCATCAAGTTATTCTTATTAAATACAACAATCTGTTTGCTTTGTAAAAGTTATTTCAATTCTGCCAGACAAATATTAAAT